AGCTAGAAGGATGTCACGGGTCAGTCCACATTCAAGGAGAGGGTTATACAGGGCACAGAGATCACGGGGGCCACCTAGGGTCTGGCTGTCACATCTACTTAATGCCATTGGTGAAACTTACACTGGCCTATTACTCATCCTTCTGCATTTACAACTACCCTCGTGTACACTGCATAGCAACACGCCCCTCGTGTACACTGCATAGTAATACTACCCTCGTGTACACTGCATAGCAACACGTCCCTTCAGAGTTTCCTCACGATCTCGTGGCTGTGCCACGGCCCCGGAGGCCCTCTCCCTCAAGGCTCTCTGAACCCATGTGTGACTCAGCCCCCTGGGCCTGGGCTCCAGCCACCTGGCCTCCTTGCTGGTCCTGGGCCTTTGCGCTTGATGTTCCCTCTGTCCATGTCCCTCTTGCCCCAGAGGGCCACGTTCTCACTCCTTCACTTTACCCAGGTCTCTGCTAACCTGTCGCCTCATCAGAGACACTCGACAGCTGCTCAGAGAGGCAGCAGAGTAAGAACTGAGAGCCAGGCTCTGAAGGTTGAATCCCAGCTGCCTCTGGATCGGTCTGTGACCTCCCCAAGCCCCAGGGTCGTCCTCAGTCAAGTGAGGATGGCGGTCTGGGGTCTCACGGCCCACTGGCCCACATCCACGGTTGTCCAAGTCACTCCTTTACGACCTGGAATGCAAGTGGCCCCCTGGTGTGGTTTCAGGGCGAGCTGGCCGGCCTTCTTGGCGGTCCAGAGGCCCTGCTCAGGGATCCCACACTGCTCCTATCCATTTCCTGGTCCTTCTTGTGTCCTGGAGAAACTTCCTTTCTGAAGTTTTCCTGAAGTTGACTTCCTTTGGATCAGGCTTATCTCAGGCTGCCGATGGAGGCTTCTTGACACCTAAATCGAACTCATTCCCTCTGACCACCAGCTGCACCCTCCTTGGCATTTGCCGAGTACTTACAACGCCCCAAGCGCCACAGCAGGCGGCGAAGCAGCTCGTCCAACGATCCCGAAATTCACATGCCTAAAGCCTCCTTTAACAAATCTCTGACACTGGAGGAGAAAGTGGAGTGTCAATAACTGTAAAACTTAAATTGGAAGAGAGTTCACGCATGGAGCACTTCACCCCGGAAACACAGACTTGGAGATACTATGGGGAGCTGGAAAGAGGACTTCGGGAATTCTGTAGGGAAGACATGAAAGGGAGCAGGAAGATACAGCTGGCATTTTAGGAGAGTAGTTTTAGGGGAGGGGGCAGGCTCTCGGGCGCAGGAGCCTGGAGTCCTTCTTTCTGTACTTGCACCAGCACAGTCCTTGGCCTGCTGTTTATTGGCTTCAAAGAAACTGAAGAGCTGCCATTAGGAATTACACTCAGGTGACCTCAGAAGGTTCCTGTCAGGGGCCTCCTGGTCCAGGCAGGGCGAGCTTTCTGCTCCTGGGGAACCCGAGGCCAGCACTATGCAGGGGGGTGAGGATTTTGCTACTGATGACTGGAGTTTGCCATCCGTCTCAGCCCCCAGGTCCAAAGCAAGACGGAAGGGACAGTGGAAATTCACGTATGTATTCATTGGTCCCAGCCCTGCCACTGACTGGCTCTAGGGACGACGGCTAGATTTTTGACCTTTGAGTGTGTGAACTCCCTTCTGCTGCCAAGGAAATCTGGGGGTCTTGGTAGGGACCCTAAGAGGTGAGATCCTTGCTCTCTCATACACTTAGTCCCTAAGACATGGGCAGAGAGCTCCAGCTTGGCCAATACTCGAGCTTAGGGCTTCGGGTCTGCAGTGAGTAGACTGCAGACAAGAAGGACTGACAGATTGGAACTCATCCCATCTATGGCTGCAGCTCCAGCATCCAGGGTCAGGGCTGAGCAGAGGGAGCAGCAACGGGGTGATGCCCCAAAGCATCCTTGTCCACATCCTGATCAGGCTGCTGCTATGGCTCTCAGTGCCCACAGTTCCTGCCTATTTCCTGAACCTGGCTTTGCAGGCTTCTGTGGATTCTGTGAGCTACACAAAACCCATCGCCGGGGATTCCCTTTCACAGTTTGGTTTGAAACCCAAGAATTCTGACTAGCTGTGTGAACTTTGGCAAATTACTTTACCTCCCTGAACCTTAGCACGCCGTCAGATGTGGCTGGTAAGTGCTTCTGGGGCTGCCTTAAACCCAGGAGACGCACCCGTAAAAGGCCGGGTCTACTTGGGCTCAGCTTTTTGAGGATGCAAATGAAATGGATGTCTGTTTACACTATTAGCTTGGTTTCATGTACATATTTCCAGTCACATTTGCTATGAAATATTGTCTGTAGAAAAAGTTTTTCACTCTTACTTTTCTGGAAATGACTTTACTCAAGCTTCCCTTCATCTTTGACGCTGCTGTCACCATCATCCCAGAGCCCCGATTTCCAGGGCACATCATCTCGTCTTCTGGACGGTTTCAGCTACGGCGTTTTGACAAATCACGTGTGATATTGTCATTGATAAGTTATCTCATGCACGTAAAACTAGGACAGTTGCTTTTGCCATATGTCCTTTTTAAAAACCTTTTAAATTATAAGAAAATTATACACAGAAGAAACGTATAAGACATAAATATCATCAATTATTATAAAGCAAAACTTACATAACCACCACCCAGGTCAAGAACTGGAACACGGGCAGAAATTCCAAAGCTTCAGGATGTCCCTTTGGTGCCTCCAAAGGCATCTACATCCTGGTTGTCATGGTAACATTATAGTAATCACTCACTTGTCTTTATACTTTTACCATTAAACATACATCCTCCAACATTTTAATAAAGCTCCTGCCTATTTTTGAACTTCACCTCTGAAAGGGATCATATAGGCTGTCTCGGGTCTGGCTTTTTTATTCGGCATGGTTCAAGATTCAACTATGTTGTATTTCATTCATGCTTTAGTTACTGATAACATTCCCTTGTAGGCTGATATCCCATTTATTTATCCATCCCACAGTTGATGGACACTCCGGCAGTTACAAGCAATGCTGCTGAGCACATTCTCGCACGTGTTCCTGGTGTGAACATGATCTAAGGCAATGTTGATCACAGGCCAGGCCAATCTTCAGCATCACTAGATTCCCCAGGGATACCACCAATTTACAATTCCACTTAACTTACCTGGTGGGCATCCCCCTGGGGGCTGAATCTGCATTTCTCTGCTTCCTGAGCTTGAGCACTTTTTCGTAAGTCTATTGTGCATTTGTATTTCCTCTTTTTTCCTTAAGAAAAAA